AAGAAAGGTTTATTTTACATGATATAGCCCCWTTAAATGCAGCTACCTAATTARAAATTAAGTTTTAAAATCATCTATTGTGAAGTAGACTTACAAAGAAGCACCCAACTAGGCTGAACTTATCCCCAGTGTGTAACTTTACAGTTAACAAGTGTTTTTCTTAACTCTGGAAATGATTGTCACCATGGAGAAGACAATACAATTTAGACCCCTTTTAATGGATGACAATCTACTACACGCTCTAAACCTATGAAAATGGGACTGAACTGCAAAAAAATTGAAAAACCTTCTTCAGTGTGAAAGCACTCATATTACTATGCTATCTTGAGACACTATTCTTTCACCCACTAYGATTTAATCCATCTGTAACTTGTTCTCTCGAGGATACTATCATCTGTTGCCATCATCGCACTGTACCATGCCATGGCTTCAAATTCCCAACAACCAAATAAACACCAGTGCACGTGGGCCTGATAACAGGAATACCCTGTCACTGAAGACCTACCTGGATCCTGATGTTTTTCAACCTTGATATTAAACTACTACAACCTTGCTGTGAAAGTTTTTTACAGGCTCAAAACTCATCATGAACCTATCAGGCTTTTATTATTCATGATGAAGAGCCCACTCTGTTCCTAAAACACACCTGAAGACCTCTTAAGTCACTTTGTAAAGACTATCCGTGTTCTGGTTGAGTGTTGCCAACTTGGCAACTAGCAAAAAGCAACTAGTGACAAATCTAACAGTCTGAATCATTGAAGCCTGGTGCAGCAACCCCTGCTTCAGTCAGAGCTGAGAGAAGACTCACGCTTCTCTCCAACTCTACTGTTGCAAAGGATGTGCAAAGCTGCCTCTGCTCCCACCCTGGCTAACAAAGTGGGATGTAATTTTTACTGTAATGTCTTTTTCGCTGACACTGACTAAAATAAATCCCCGGACTCAGCTGCATTTCACAGCCTCAGTCACTTCATCACTTCGTCCACCACATATGCCTCTGTGACGTCTGACAGTCTTTTGGTTAAATTTGATAACCTCACAAAATGTATTTATGTAATGTGGATTTAAGCATTAAAGTCATGAAATTATTTCATTTAGTTCATTTGTAGTTCTTATTTGTAATATGAACACTTTTAGTGTTTTTGCTCACTTTTTTCCTTTCAGTATTGATCTCCACCAATCCTACGGCCTTGATCAGAATTATTGGAAAATGTCCAAATATGCAAATTATGTAATGATATTAGTTTAACTTCTGGCGATTTTAAGAACAGATATAGATACTTTTCCTAATGAGGAGTTGGCAACATAGACAAGGTCACATAGACACATCCATTCATGCTCAGCACTCACACCTTGACAGTGAAAAATTGCTCTATTATCCAATTTAATACAAAATACAAACATTTTACAGCAGATGTATCACAGCAGTAAACCCCGGTTTTGTTGATTTGTTACCCTAATCTAGGAACAGAACCGTCATTTTGTAGAGAGGAATATTAATATTACAAAGTTGTTTAATACTGAACTACATGTGCTGTTTGAAATTATTCATGATGATTCATTTTAAAGTAGACCTATTATATGGATCATCGAAACTGGCATAATTCAAATTAAAAGCAGAAATGTATATAATGGCTCAATAAATAAACACACATAAAATTCACCAATTAATTTAAAAAAGGATAACTTTTCTTCATATTTTATAATTTAATTGACCTTCATATTTATGTTTCCAGCTTAGTTCCAACAAATTACATATTTTATCAGTTCTGTCACAAATAATTAAATGTAATAGTTCAGAAGACATCAAAACAAGATAAATGAATAGGGTGAAAATTATGACCCTAAAGAATATAAAGATATCTTGGCAGCAAAGAGTAGAGACTAAATTCAACTTTTCGGCCTCAGAGAGACTCCAAGTTCACAACAAAATGTATTTAACAAATAAAAAAGTGGATTTTTCATATTTCCCCTTCTCTGCTTCCAAGTTATCAAACTGTTTTTGAACTTAGAGCAAAACAATTCTCAACCTAAAGGCGGATGTTGGTAAAGATTGTTTTAATCATTGAGCATGTAACACAAGAACATCCATTTACATCTGAAATTTAAAACCCTTCTGAAAGACAAAACAACAGTGTTCACATCTGAATCAGATGTGTTTTTTTTTTATTTGCTAGTGATGTGGTTTGTGGTGTAAAACACACAAACTCTGGTCGCATCCATCTCCAATCATCTGTTCATTAGCAGCAAGCTGCAGCTCCTCCAGCCAAACGACAGGAGCTTTTCTCCACAGTGACTTCATCTGCTTCTGTTGTTTGTAACTGTTCAGCTCATATTTTAAAGAGTGAGCAAAGGCAGATCCGGGAACATTCGGAACAAAACATCAGTCAGTTTAATCAGCGGAGCACAGGAAAATTAAACTTGCCTGTTTCTACAGAGGCCCACCAACCTGAGCAGCATGCCTCCACTACCAACACTGAACTCTGGACAGCTTTCAAGTAAAAGGACAGATTGTTGCAATGATCTGTGCTGACAGGCTGCAACTGTCTCAGTCGGACCGATGATGGAAATCCACTATAAAACACGTACTCAGAGTCATTCATCAACAGTGACACATTGACACAGATGTGCAGATGCTGACAAAGAGCTCATGGAAACTTTTGCTTTGGCTGAAAACTCGAGATCAGAGAAAGTTTGATTTCTCCACCCTGAAAACTGCCTCACTTTACTTTTACACTTCAAGTTTTCATCAGACTTTTTCCTTTTTTTTTCATTTGCAATGAAAATTGCGTCCTTCCTTCTTACACACTTCATTAAACGTAAACTCAGAAATGTGATGAAGCCAACATCATCCAAGTTAAATGTATTCATCTCCCAAGCTGGAAAATTGTCTGGAAGATTTATAAAAGAACACAAAACACATGACCAAAAAAAAAAAAATCACTGGGTCAGTTGGAATTTCTTTTACTGTTTTTTTTTTTTACCATTTCTTTTTCCAATCATTTTATCAGTGTGTACATTCAGCAGATGGAATAAATTGAATCACTGTTTGCATGAGGCTCATATATCCACTACTAACCATTCACAAGTGCTGCTCCGTTTAACGTTTGAGCACAAAAAGCATTTCATGTCTGCTGTAGTCACTGTCAACTTCGCTATTAACGACAAGTTATTTTCAGTTGAGTGTCTTTTAGTTATTCTTTCATCTTCATAAATAATGGGGACGTTTGTTATCCAGAGGCAGGAGAAGTGATGAGCATGTTTACTTTCTACAAAATTCAGCYCATATACAGCTCTGGAAAAAATTGAGACCTTTTTAAAATATCAGTTTCTATGATTTTGCTCTTTAAAATCATAGACTGGCATATGTTTGAGTAAAATGAATATTTATATGTTATTCTCTGAAGAACTRACAACAGCTCTCTGAAATTCCAAGCAAAACTTGAGTATCTATTTGCAGAATTTGAGAAATGGTCAAAATGACGTCAAAGATGCAGTGCTTTCAGACCTCAAACAAGTTCATTTTCATTTCRAAACAACAATAATAATGTTTTAACTCAGAAAGAGTTCACAAATCATTTGGTGGAATGCTTTCAACCAAATACAGGGAAACTGTGCAGTGGTCTCTTAATTTTTTCCATAGCTGTAGATTAAAAATGAATTAATTTACATTCATATTTCATCAGTTCTCAGTCRTAAAATGAACTAGTTATTGTTCTTGTATTATTTTATGACAAAACACTCTTTGTTCTTTTTATATTAAATGTTGCTAGATTATATTCTAATCCCTTTAACTAGGTCAAAATGGCCTTCTAGAAAAACTGCACCCACCCCGACCCAAATCAAAAAGTAACAGTGGCTTTGAGGGCTATAAAATATGGGTCACAAAAGTGCTATTTGTTAAATAGAGGTTTTTAATGCATCAAACGTACACTGTCTGGCCAAAAATAGTTGTCACCACAAAACATAAATAAATAAAATAAAGGGGTCACACACTCTAATATTTTGTTGGGCCACCTTTAGCTTTAATTACTGCACACATTCACAGCGGCGTTGTTTGGATAAGCTTCTACAATGTCAAAGATTTATTTCCATCCAATGTTGCATTAATTTCTCACCAAGATCTTGTATTGATGGTGATAGAGTAGACCTAAGTTAAATCCAGGTGGTGACTTTTTTATTTTATTTATTTTTTATTTTGGCCAGGCGGTGTGTGTGTTTTGGTCTTAGTCTTTGCATTATCAGAAGGAACTTCTGCCTGAAAATTCCAAGCTGATGACGTTTGGAGTGATTAAGTTATTGATTACTGGTAACTTTACAAAACCTGGACAAATGTGGAAAGCCTTGACCACACACTGCCAACAAACATCAGACAAATAGATTCTGTCCTTAAAAGGAAATATAACTTTCTTCTGCATGAAGTTGCCTAGATTTGCTTTGAACGTTTACCAGTCTACAGTAATGGTTCAGTCTGGAATGTATCATTTATGACACCAAAATGGGTTTAGTTTAAAATACTGTTTGTCTCATTCAGCTTAAGTTGACAAAAGGTATTTATTTGTAAAAGATTGTCCTCTATTTTTTATTTTTGTTTTTGACAGAAGATGAAAAAAATACAAACCCAACAAGTGCTTTATTAGTGTATTTATGATTAGTGATGCTTATTTCTGCCATCTAAATAGTTTTTTACAAGGTATGATGTCACCATTGAGACAACATTAACATTTTTGCTTTATAAAATATATTAACTTTTCCCGTTAGTCTTTTTTTGACAAGTTTTTCTCTGAAAGTTCTGTAGCATTTACAATGACCTTGATTTCAAACAAATCACAAATTTGATCAAATCGTTCTTGACTAAAAGTAAAGATTTGTGCTTAAACCTTTCCCAGTTTGAAATATAAAATGTTTTTTATACAAAGGAGAATAGTGGTTTATATCAGTGGAGCAAAAAAAAAAGCTCAAAATCAACCAAATAATACCAAATCAAGATAAAAAAGACCTACTCGAGTGTGCGTGCGGATGTGCATCTTCAGGCCGTCGTTCTTGCTGAATGCTTTGTCACAGTAGGGGCACTGGTACGGCCGCTCACCTAAAACATGAACATCACAAAGTTTAATACTTCATCTGTGTAACAATACATCGATCCACACTGATATATCAATTAATTGGTTAAAAGATGTGTATCATCATCATGCCAGATGTGCCCAACATAAATGATTGTGTTAGATGGGCAAATGAGATCACATCATATCGATCGCAGACTTGTGAATTGAATTTAATTGAAATTGTATCGTGACAGACGTTGATATTGAGAAATATTGTATCAGAATAATGCTAGTGATTTACACCCCTAATATACAGATTATGCAAACGTCTTTTTAAAGAGGATAGTTCAGACATTTTGAAGTGGGGACCTGTGCTGTAGAATGATTCTGAAAAAAATCTTACCTGTCTGAACAATGACAATTTCAAAATACAGCTAAAAGCAAAGTGAATTATTGGTTAAAACAAYTTCAGTCTACAATATCTCATGTGCATCCATTTTCGCATTGCTGCCATCTATAATACAACACAGTAATTTACATGAAATCCAGTGTATTCAAGCACAGATAATAGGAGTGCTTGTAGCACTTCCAGTTTCATGACATCTAAATAACTGTAATATGAAACTGACAGAGGTGACAGAGGAGTTTTATAAACTAGAGTTATAGGAACTGKTGTGGATGTTTGGAGACTGGAGTTGTTTTAAGACACCAGCAAAGGTTAGCTTACCAGTTCTGTCAAATTAAAGTTCTACAAACTGATGTACAATAAGACTCACAAAYTGTTCAYAATRTTTCCACAGAACCCAACTTCAAACTGACTGAACCRTCTTTTTAAACTCATTTAAATCAATGGAAAAAAGAACATCCAACCCATACAGCAGCACATGAAACATGTTTTTGTTCTAAACTACATTAAGTTCAACAAAGACTTAAATCTTTTCTAAAATATGTTTCCAAAGGGCTCAAAGTCAAACGTGATCAAACTACTGGTAGTTATCTGTAATATTTCTGAGGAACTGTTCATTTCTGATCCACACTGACTTTCCACTGCGGGGGGGGGGGAAAACACATTGCTACAGTCTGTGGCCTGCTATCTGAGCTTCAGCTGACCAGCTGTTAAGGGAATTTTAAAGGCAATCTGGTCTCTCCTGGTTGGATCAAAAGCAGTCCAGCCAAAGTCTTATAGATCCTATCTGAGCACACTCTGCTGATGACAAAGAGAAAGTGACAAGCTGTCAATCAAATGCCTTGCTGACATATGGATCTGTTTACTTTATGCTGATCCAATGGACAGATAAGAGTCACAGAGCTGATTACTGCTCTAAAGAAGGTAGCCGGGGTTAATAACCTCTACAACTCTGCTGAAATTAAAGATTCATTCAGTAAATTTAAAAGTAAGGCTGACCACCTCAGATATAATTCCATATTTTATTCTGATTTAAAAAAAATTTGCAAACTAATGATTCTTAAACTTCCTATGCTGAGAAAACTGAAAATTGAGAAGCCTATAGTGTAACCATTTACAGAAGTTTTATGCAAGTCTGTAAGTTACCACAGAATAAACCTTTAATATAGCTACAAATTGTTGTTCAGCCTTTCAATGAAACAATCAAATCTTCCCAGAGTAATACTTTTTGTTCTGTGGCTAAATGTTGGAGGCATACAAGTGATAATTGAAAAGGTTAATTAATTGTGTTTCTGTGGGATTTAAAATGCAAAGATCCTTATTAAATCAGAAAATATATTGACTAAAAAAATGAGGCGTAATAGTCTTTCACCATGGAGGATCAGTTCTTGTCCATTTCTCTCATTAGGTCTAGACCAACATATGGGGTAAGTCAGTAAATGCAGTACATACTTAAAGGTTGCTTTTCTATGATATGACTTTACTAAAGATCAGCTCACAAAAACCCATGTCCAAGGGCTTTATCCTGACACTTTAAATTTACATCTCGTAAAGCCTGTCTGTCAACAGAAAAGTTACAACAGCTGTCATGTAACAAATATACATGTGGACTTCTAAACCCACCCACCATAAATCCCCCCACAAGAGGGCTTCAGAGGAGCACGAGGAAGAGCAAAGTGTCACAGAGTAATAAAACATCTGAACTCAGGTTAGTGGGCAAAGGGTTAACGTGACAAATGTGGTTTGATCACACATACCGAAACGTGCATAAGTGCAGCTCAGAAATCTGTCCCAATGGCCCCACCCCCATGTACTCCCCACTGTTCTGCACAACTATAGCCTCTAGGAGGTCTTTTTGTTGACAAACAGCCATGTCTGAGTCCCAGATGTATTTTGAGAAAGAGGAGAGCAAATCCTGTGTCAGATGTAACATGTGTGGTATCGGGTTAAAGCCCACCGTTAGCCTCGGGACGTCCTGGTGAAGGCATTAGTGTGCTAATGGCATCACGACGCAGTGTGCTGGTGCACTCTGCAGCTTGGAGGACCGTCCATCCTGCGAGCTGATTATTTTCTGTTAATACACAGCTCAGACTGCCACACCCTGCAACTCAAACCCCTCAATGAGTACACACTTAACCTCTTCAGCTCTGAACACGTGTTTCATCTGGAAAAGGGAGAAATGATGGCAATCAATAACCTGAGGGAGGTCCATCACAAGCATGGTCACTTATGGTTTCAATGGGCCTCATGCAAGAGCATGTTCGTATTCTTATCCTAAATTTCTCTTACTTTTGTTTGTACAAAGGGTTCGTGCGAACATGTCACGTCAGATTCAACAAACTCTTCTATCTTCATGAAAAGTGTGTAAATGAGGAGCGTGAACTGATGAATGTGTATCAGGTGCTCGTGCTCGGGAAGAGATTAATTACCACCCTAAAAAACACCATATAAGGATATGCGTTTCCTGCCCCACATACWGTACCAGGAAGTGTCCATTCATAAATGACATCGCAAAGTAAAAAAGAAGAACTTTACAAGTTCGGAGATTGAAGTTCTGCTCTCGGAGATCCACAAAAAATGTCATTTTCAGCAGTGTCAGCTGTAGAATTAAAGGATCTGCTTTAAAGCAGAGGAATGAAATGATGACTGCTGTTAATGTCGTGTCTCCTGTGGGTCGTTGCAGACAAAGAAATAAAAATCTAAATTGTATTTATCTCTCTCAATCGTCCTGCTCTGCTTTGTCTTTGGTCAAATATTTTTAATTTCAGTGTAAACAACTGTGTTACATAGGTTTCACTTATTCAGAGGAGCAGTCGTGCACCGCACCCCTCCCCCCACCCCCCACCCCACAACTGTCAAGTGTCAGATGCGTTTCTAGAGAAAAAGCATTTTAAAATGTCTCAAAACTTTAATTAACTTCATATTAACATTGTAGTGCAATAAAACAAAATTAATAACAGATTTATTTTAATTTAACCAATTTATGTTGTTAGTCTACATTATTACATTTAAAATTATATTTCTAATTCAAACAGAATAGCCTCTAGTCAACATACTTTTAGACTGTGATTCATTTTCAACTTGAAATATCTTTAAACTAATGAAATATAAAGTTTTTAATGAAGAAAATCCATCTGGATAACAGCAGACTGACTGCTGGTAAAATATACGACAGGTCTGGACCACACGTGAATTTTGTTCGTATCTGAAAAAAATCTTAGAATAYGAAAACATTGGTGAATGCCACAAATTCTCCTAAATCACACATACGCACAACTTAAGAACAAATCTTTGCGTACGAACGGTTCTTGCATGAGGCCCAATGAACCACTCAAAGCTAGACCCCGTTTAAATTAAACAAGCAACTCAATCACTTAGTGAAACAGGAAACAAACAAATGCTACTTGGAAACGGTAACATTCCTTCACCACTGCTTTTTATTATGGATATGAGAAGCAGAGTGTCTGTTCTGCCGAGTGTTACTGTAACTAGAACCCCCCCCACTTATTCTCCAGATTGAGCCAGATTGTTTGGGGATTACGAYGGGGGTGGCTGCAGCTCCGAGTCGGGGCTTTATGTGTGTAGAGATGGTAACTAATTTAGCATGTGCTGAAACAGTACACCATCTCTTTGACCCTGGGTGTCTCCCCTGTCCCCCCCGCTGTGGCCCTCACACTCCCCGTCTGCTAATCGATCTGTTTGGCACCCTTTGTGTGTTATGGATGTGTGCGCGTATGGCTGCGTRTCTGGTTAGCAGATGGTTGGCTTTGTCGTTTCGCCTGCCGCACTGCGTGCAAGTTACGGAGAGCTCTTTGTAGCTTTGGGGCTCTGGTCTGAAAGACATTAGCGCCGTCCRTCAGAGATTAATTCTTGGCTTCTTCCAGTTCAGGCAGACAGTGGCTCTCGACTGTCCTGGCCTCTGCCTTGTGTCRCATGCCGACAGAGGCCACAGAGGTAATGTGATACCAGCGTGCTAAAGATGATAAGAAAATTGCCTTTGATGAGCCAAAGGAGTGCCCAGCAACTTTTACACTTGACCTTGCCATTATAGTCAGGGTCTCAAAATATTTTTTCTGCTTCCTCCAACAGTTCGTTTAAAACTGCCTCTCTCCGATTTGAAGCTGAAATGTCCTCTACTAAAATCCAGCATCTCAGCACCCTACAACAGGCCGTATTCATCAAAGCAACAGACAATAACTCAGTACACGGCAATCTTGATTTACAAGATTRTAACCATGACCACAGTTAAGACAAACAAAGTCATCTACATGTAAATAGGTTCAGTGACTCCAGAGTTGTGCCAGATGTTGGCTGGGGGCAGATGTTCTGACACCGGCTCGTTTAATGCTGCAACTTTAGAAAACATGAAAATGTGTTGTTTATCATTAATTTTGAGAAATGGTGCTGCAGATATGAACAGAATATGTTCAAACCAGAAAAAAGGTTTTGTTTTTCTGATGAACTGAAATTTGGACAAAGAACAGAGTCCTTCTTATCTCAAGACTTCTGAGGTTGTCTGGGTCAGATTTGTTCCCTAAACTTAAGAGTCAGAACCAAACATACAGAATCTTAATCAGCTTTTATGCACAAAATATGTGGAACAAACTCCCAGAAAGCTGCTGGAGCTCTCAGACTAAA